TTCTTGATTATCAGCAGACCCTTTCCAGACTGACCCCTTAACTGCTGCAAGCTTCTGGGAAATGACGCAAATGTCAAACTAGTTTCTTTCTAGAGGGTAATGCTGGAGGTCACAGACTTGAGAAATTAAGCATTGGGCATTATGAAATCATACAGAGAAAGCTGGAGATCATAAGTTCTGCTTTTAAACAAATTATTAATTTATTGCTATAAGACACCACATTAAAGCACAGCAACACGTTGTTTGCATTGCTGTTTATTATTTAGAAATACTTGATTGACAGCAGTGACAGAAAAATACAATGGGAGCCATCATCACAGTCTTTACTGAAACTATAGAAAAGTAGAAGCCTGTGATCTGCTGTGTGGTTCAACCAGAATGTGTGTGGCTCCATAGCAGTACCTTCTGCTTTACCCTTTACTATGGAGGTAAACGCTGTGCCAGAGACTTGTAGGTGGAGTTGAGTTACAGTAAAACATTGCAGTCTCTGCTGGTTATAAATAGAGTCCACAAAGGTCACAAATTGCTTACTGCCCTTTTAAGACAAGTAATTTTTTTAGAAGAGGAATTGTAATATTTATAGCATTAATGTAAAACATTCAGAATGTATGAATGATTATTTAGAGCAAATAAAAGCCAGACAATAATAACTAGCACCACTGATTTACTGGCAGCATGGGACCTGAATCGTGTTCTTTGTGGCAGTTATTTAGCTTTTGACAGCTTTTTATAAAGCTGTGATTTAAGCTGCAAGTGTAAAAACCACTCCCTCATAGACTGAGGTCAATCAGATATTCATTAATCACAGAATACAGTTCTACTTTGGATTTTGTAAGCTATGTAGTTTGGTTAAATCATAAAGGCCCCAGTGAACAAAGCATTTAAAACTGACATGACAGAGAGTGCAAGAACATATGACCAAATTTGGGTGTAGGATGCTCGGAAATATAAGGTTTGTGGTAGGAAGCCTTAGGATCTCCTTCCTTCCCCTTTCTTGCCCTTGCAGTAACCATGACAGTCAGCACCAGGGAAAGATGAGGGATATAAAAAGAGATAAAAATGACACACTGGATGGAGTGACTGGCACATGATGCGGCTTTTACATTACTGCTGAAATCAGCAGGATTAATACCGACTGTAAACGCCAGTCAGTCCAACACTAACACTTGACCATTATAGATCACTATATAATGGTATACATTACTATATGTGGTATAGTGAAGTTAATAAGACCATTACTGTTGATATAATATGACTTGCCAATCATTCATTATATTGATCAATTCTTTATTCATAGTTAACCTGTTCAGGGTCATGGTGGGTGGTGTAGTGTATCTCAGCATACACACACAATCAGACATTTACACATATGGGCAGTTTAAGTTCCACTTACTCTATACTTGCATTACAGTATATTGATGGCAGAATAAACTAACAACTAGAGGAAACACACACAATGTAGGGTATTTACACTCCACACACAACATGATAATGTGAATGCAGTGCTATCACGTATTTAAGTGAAACGTTGACAAACCTCCTCTGATTATTAATTGTACATTCATTGGCTATAAACTAACTCGTGCCTTTGAGATTAAAAAGGCATGCCTTTCATGGCTATCAGAAAGTCTTTGCAATAAGATGCATAGTCAATTCAAAGCCAAGTCTAACATCTTAAATTTAACATTAGCTTTCCAGCTACTGTTTGACCACCCAGTAAGCTGGCTAATGTTAGCTGAAAGGACACATTCATGTACTTAGCTTTCTTTGTGAGCTTTGAAGTGATGGATGAGGATGGATGTTGTGGTGGTCATGTCACTGACTTTTGCTTTGCAGACTTTGCATACAGCTGTTTTCTTCTTACTACCATCATCAACAACATAATCCTTGAATCCAATTTATTATTTTTGGATGCGGCCCCTCCATCACAGCTGCATCCTGCGACTTGTGTTGCCCTGCTGGTCTGCCGCGTTCTGGTAGGCTGTCAGATTGACGCACATTGCAAAAGAAGTAGGCTGTCAGATTGACGCACATTGCAATAGAAGTCACCCAGTTGTGTTTCAAAACGTAAGCTCTCAGAATCTAGAAAAATGCAAACATTTGAATTAAGAAACTGAAGTAATTTCATATCATCTGCCTCAACACTAACTCAGGTGTCAAGTCATGAATATCAAGTCAGAGTCGAGTTTTTTACCATTGTTAGTCAAGCAAGTCTGAATTCCTCAAATTTGTGACTTAAGTCTGACTTGAATCAAGTCATGTGACTCGAGTCCCCCACCGCTGCTTTTTACATTGCACACAGTCAGCAACTGTTGGACCTGATGACAGAGGTAGACACCTTATATTCAAGGCTGTACACACTTAAATTCTGTGTACCCACCTCTCTAATTCTGAAATAACATTTATTTATCAATATGTAATGATTTCTAGGTTGTATTACTATTTCCCCACTGATGCGTAAGTATGAATTGAGCACACATAGCGCCATTGCCAAAAATCTTCTATGAAACACTGCATATTGGTGGATTACAGCAGGATTTTTAGTTCATTATTTGACCATTAGCCATGTATTTACTCCAGTTGTTAACCGTGGTGCCTATTACTAACAATAATTAAAATAGAAGAAAAAGTCCTTCAGAATAGCTGCTAAGTAGCCTCGGTTTGTGTAAATTTCTCAATCAGCTCTGACAATGATATGATTATGATGAAATTACAGAAAAGGAAATGATCATCTACAGTGTCACTCAAGAGTGTCCTTGCCCCCACCCTTACACACACACACACACACACACACAGTAGAAAACTTGTAGGGGCAGTTCATCCGGCCCTGCTTCCTCTTTTTATGGTATAAAACCTGGAGATCTGATCGAAGGAGATAAGTCGTCTTCATCTGCCAGATCTACCATTCAGCTTCAGCGAAGAAACGGCGGGACATCTCACCAAATAACCATGCAGATGTGCATCAGAAGACTGGCATGCCTGGCTGTCCTCGCTGGGGTTCTGGCAATGCTAACAACAACGGCTTCTGGTGAGTTGCCTGTCAAAGGATCCTGCTCCATATGACACTGCAATCCTGCTCTAAGACACCTAGAGCATACATGCTGCAATAATAGAGCTTTAAGAAATTATACCTTTGCACACTCATTTCAAATGATTGATTGAATTCTGAAAAAAAAATGTGAATACCTAATGCTCATGATATTAAATTCTTCTGTTTCCTGAAAAGTACCAATAAAGATAACCAAATGCTGCACTGAGGTCAGCGTCATGAATGTCACTGCTCCCATCGTTGGCTACAGGATCCAGAAGAAGAACCCGCCCTGTGTCCGTGCTGTCATGTAAGAACTACTGTGTTTATTTTATTCAACAGAGAGTTGTGATTATAAGCATTATAGAGCTGAAAATGCAAGATCTTAAATAAAAAGACATTTTTTTGCCACCCAGATTTGAGACCACAGAGGGAGAGGTCTGCAGCCACTGGAGACAGGACTGGGTGTTTGACAAAATCAAGGAGCTGGAGTGAGTAGCCCTCATCTCAGTCAGTCTGTATGAACTATTTATACTAGGTTTCTTCTCCACACGTGATGCATCATGTTAAAAAACGTTTTGATGTGTTTCTCAGGGACCTCTTAAACTATTTAAGATTTTAACTGTTGCCTCTTATGTGTGTGTTTTACAGGAAGGTCCGCAGAGAAAAGAAGACAACTTCTTCCCCTACAACTGGAGGCACTCCTCAATATCATATATAGCCAATTGTCTTGAACTAATTTAAGATATTTAAGATGCTTTCTAATGTTATTCTTTAGTATTTAATATTTATTATGAGCACTATTTATTTGTCTTGCCATTTTCTTTATCATTTCTTTTCTGTGCTATGTTCAGCTTGCATAATGCTTAACAAAGATAAAAATGATGTGCATAACAAAGTAATCCAGCTGAGAGTTGTCTGCTGTTTATCTATAAATAAAATAAATGTTCACAATTCACAGTTGATGCTATTGTCGGTTAATACTGGAAACCAAAGGTAGCTGTGGTTGTCAGATAACCATCAGCATCTCACAAAGTATCTGACAGAGGTTCAGTCTCAAGCAGTTCAATTCTGCCATCTTGTGGCGGATTGATATTAATGCAGCGCCACTTCCCAGGAAGCAGTGTGTCATTGAGGGAGTCACCTTGTCTGACGGGGGCACCAACCCCTCAGGGTGCTGATCCAAAATAGCACAAGAGACTGTCTCCCTGTTAGTCATGTCACGCATTTGCTAGAGCTTAGAGGGCACGACAGCTCATTGTAAAGTTTTATAAGCACCTTCCAGGACATGCACGGGCAGCATCCTTTTCTAAGTGGACCAGGCACACGGTCACTGAAACACACAGAGCAGCGGTCTAGTCAGTTTGCACTAGTTGTCAGCGTATTGTCATGTATTGTTTGGAAAATACACCTTTTTAATGATATAAGGAGCTTTTTCCATTCAGTCACTTTTTACATGCTACTTGAACATGTGGCATAAGATCGGTTGAAACTGCTGTTACCCATCTTAATAGAATGTGAGCCTACATTTTATAGAGTCCTACACTGAAAGTAATTCGACACATTTCAGTGAGACGGTGTTGTGTGACAAATACTGTGGACCACAAAGCTGGAGTAGTATCAAGTTTATTGGCATATTTTAGCTGGTTAATACGATTGAGCAGATTTCAAAGAAGGAAATAACATAATCAGAAAAACATGATTTAAAAAACAAATGCTCACAAAAACTTGATTATATGGCTTAGCACTTAATCTATGTCCGTAGCATCAAAGCTGTATATCTTCTCAGGTTCCCCTTAAGTTGTGATAATGGAGTATTAATGCTGTGTGATGTCTAAGCAAGAAAGAGTAATTAGCATTCTGCTTTATCCAGAGAAAACTCTTTAGCATTACTTGATTGCAGTAGGTTCAATTTCTCTAAAACATTTTCTTAAATTGGCGCTTTTATTAACTGCAGTTGTCTAAGGCAACAACTTGGTTTTTGTTTAATAGGAACTGTCAGTGTCATTCATAAAGGTTTCTGTGCTACTGAAGAAAGATCCATGCTTCTCACTAAATGACGGGATTCTGAGTTACACCTGCAGCAGACCGAACCTTGGACATCTTCTTCAGTTTGGAGCTATAAAATAAAGAAAATTTTACTTACAATGCTTCAAAAACAAAAGAAAACCCTGTTTGCACATGACAAGTTATCAGGTTTGTAGTTTAAAATGAGTAGTAGTATCATACCTGAGTAGTTCCAGAGTCTTCCTCACCCACTCATCTCTTCGGGTGGCGCATATCTCATTCTTCTTAGCCGTGTAGAAACTGAAAAAATGCGAGGCATTATCATTCTATGAGAGTAGAGTTTAAAGTCTCTATAGTGCCTGAGTTTTCAGTGCCCATACTAAAATACTTTTTAATATAAACACATTACTCCACAGAAACACTTGTTTTTAACAAAATGAGTCAAAGTTCTCAAATGTAATGGTGTTTGTCTTGTGTTAGAGTGACAACATGCAACCTTACAGGAACTTTAAATAGAATGGAATTAAAAATTACATTTAAAAATATGAAATATTTGATTTATAAAGACTTGAGACTGAAATAAATTAGAATCTGCCTGAAGTATTCGGTGCCAGCTCTCGGCACATGACGTTTTTGATACAGACTCACTTTGGTCAGCACTTTAGAAGTACTGCAGTTTGATGCCAGCACTGTTTGTGTAATTGTGTGATTAAGTTTTCTCACTTATAAAAACTAAACAGACTGAGAACAAATACCTTATTGCCATAATTTATTGAGTTATGAAGCATAAATTCGGGCAGTTTTTACAGCTGAATATTGTGGTTGACTAGACTCAATGCTTTATTTCTATGGTGTAAAATTCTTCAAACGCAACATTAGTAATGTTTTGCAAAAGGCCTTTAACATTTTAATGAAATAACAACTATCAGTGTATTTTGAATGTTTTGGAATTATTTCAGTCAGTGCAATCACTTGATTGTCACTAACTTTTGGCATGTTTTGACCATTATATTCAAATTTACATTTTGTGGTACGGATGTTTGCAGGGTTGGAGTTGGGATGGTTTAGTTTAGAGCCTTACATGATCGCCTCCATGCGGCAGTTTTCCCTGGTGGTTTGTTCTCTGTAGCCCTTTATCACCTGGAAGGGCACTGGCTTCCTATTGTAGCTTGTACAACAGGATTTGCCCATTCGGGAACCTACTGTACACACACAAGCACACACTATATTATTAAGGGATCAGTTCAGTTTAGAGTCCTAATGTAATAACTATTGTATTTTAATCTGATTAAATTGAATAAATGAAACGAACTTACAGGCAGCGGGAGCTGGACTGAGTGGGCCCACCGTGAAGCAGAGGAGAGCGGCTGTGAAAGTGATCATACCTCTGGGAGCCATGTTGACAATGCAGAGAAACAGCACGGAGCTTGATGTATAACCACTGCATATATATACTTAAAGCACTACTCATTTGTTGTTACATGTGGCTCCTAAATCGAGGACAGGAAGCCCACTACTGCATCATTGAGGCCAAAGTTGCAGACTTTGCATAACTTAGGGCTCCGCTGTGCTATTATGCAACACTGAGATTTGTTTACGTGGGCCTGTGAGAGTGTTTCTGTGGAACTGATGCTCTGATGCTTTAGGACCATATAATCTCCTTGGGCTCCCATCTATATTCATGCTTTCTGGGTTAATTATCGTGCTGTGAACTTCTTCATAACTGACACTGCAGATTCTAATTGTCACACGCTCTTCACTCCATTTAGATTTCTCTAAAGCTACAGTATATTGCAGCATATTTAGCTCTCAGTGCATAAGCCTTCATAATTATGTTCAAGGGAATGTGTGATACACAATATTACCCTCATCTTGCTTCATGTGTTGCCTTGTATTGAAAAAATATCTGTAACATCCACTGTTGTAATTTGACATTGTTGCTTAAAGCTGTAGTCAGCGCTCTTACGATTGTTTTGTGGTGAGGGCTGATAGAGTACGAAAGGCTTGTCAAAATCCCCCTCCACGTTAGCATGACCTATTTAGTAAGCTGACAGCTCAGCTGACCTACATAGGCACAACATCTTCAAGTAGCAACTGCTCTATAGCGTACTGCATGTCTCAAAAACGACACGTACAAGCTACAGATGACTAGTTGTAAAAATCAACACCTCCTGGACGGTGAAAGCTTCCACCACATTTATGAATGCGTACGCTCACCATGGGCTTTCTACACTACATGATTGCATCTAGATATTTTGTCAGGCAACGTATAAACTGTTACAAATCATTCTTTTACAGAGGTAGAGGAGGATAATCAGATTCTTCCCATCCTTTTCACAATATTCAGAGTGATTCTCAACTGATCCCTGAAGGACAAATCTATTATCGGTTGCCCTTTTCGCAAGGAAATCGAGAGTGTGAAGGTTAACAACAGATTAGGGCCACTACAGCCACTACGCACAGTGCTCACTGTCATTGTGCAGAGACAGCCGGAGACAGGGCGGCCAGTTGAATGAGTCTCCAAAGTTTCTCCACATAAACTGTAGCTATGATTAATAGCTGTGTACATGCCAATGTGCTGAATTCTCATCTTCTGCACCCCCAGACTTTTGACTAAAATGACTGCACTTTGTCCTCCCTGAAAATTAATGCATCTTTGATTACACAGGAATCCACTGAATTTATTAGACTGGAAAGAAATGAGCTGAATATACAATTTACTGCTGCTGTTGTATTTATAATTTAATATGATTTTTTTCCTGATAACCGTCATAACCTGGTATAATGTGATAAAGGATTTGGCAGATTTGAACATCCACACGTTTATAAAATCATCTAATAATATCTAATAATAATGTTTAGAATATCTAAGTATATATAAAATAAATATTTAGAATATTTAAATATATATAAAATAAATAAATATATAACGTGTGTGTGTGTACAGAATATAATAAACAAATCAACAAACAAGCAAATAAAAAACTAAACCTCACCTTGTCTGATCTAGGAAGCCTAAATTACTTTGGACCGCTCTGAGTTTGTCATGTGTTAGTTAGTTACAGAGATCATGACTCATTATGTTCTTGTTATGACTTGCCCAACTTGTGACCTCCTTGAAACCCCCTCTGTCCTTTTACTTCACAGTCAGGCCCACGCTTCTCAATTTAGCACACCACACAAACTCATGGCACTTTTGATGGTGCCCTACAGCGGTTTTTGCAGCAGGGTGGGGAGTTGATGAATGTCAAGCAAGACCTCAGATCAACCTGATCATCTGTCATAACAACAAAAGGGACTGCTTTGTCATATGTGAAATTCAAATCAGGCTTTTTAATTCCTTTAACTGTAGATCAAGTGCATTGCACAAACCATGTCTGAAACACAGTGTGGGACAATGTTTACACAAGACCAGGGGCAGCTGTTAATATCTTGGCTTCTGTCTCAGCCTCTCTTTCTGCGTGTAAGCGACCGTGTGTGTGTGTGTGCGTGTGTGTGTGAGACATATTGCATGTCCTGATGAAGGGAAAAGTAATGCGATAAAATGAACAACTGTTTGGTTTGACAGTGTGATTCCTGCTAATCCGCTGTAAAACGCAGCATTATATTGTCATCCTGTCGTCCTCTATGAAAGACACACAACTTCCTGTGCGGCTGCAGCCCTACTTTAAAACTATAGTCATTGTTTAAGAGCAAAGCCAACAGTTCAGTTCCAGCTTCTCAAATGGGAATATTTGCCACTTTTCTCTATTTCAAAATGAAATACTTCTTCAACTTCAGGCCCAAACAAGCAGAGCATGTCTGCTTGGACTCTAAAATTATGATGGACTTTATATACAATTTCCTTTTCTTTCTTTTGTTTTCTTAACATTTTATAGACCAAACAAATAAATGATTAACTGAGAAAATAACTGGTAATCAGTGATGAAAATAATCATCAGTTGTAGTCCTAAATCATTCAGACCAAAAATATCTTAAAGTAATTCAAAACTGAAAAATGCATATCACATTTCCAAAGCAATATTTTAGAATTTATTTTTTGGAAGGATATTTAATTTACAACAATTGAAAAAAAAGCAGAGAAGCCATATAGAAGAAGCGGTTAATATCTTAACTTCTGGAGTCATGTTTCTGGCAAATTGACAAATTTAAGTCCAGTTTTCATATTTGCTCTTCATCAAGTCCTAGGAAGAACATCTGGACACCAAATGTCTCCACCAAATGTTCCCCAGCTCATTGCTAATTCTGTAGCGCACAGTGGGTCTGTGAAAGCTTTTCGATGAAAACAGCTGCTTGTTGGGAATGAGAGCACATTTGTTTACAGTGATGTGAGTGAACCAAAATAGCAAATTTATATGCTGTAACACCAAAACAGTGAGTTGAAAGACTCTAAAAAGCTCAATCGAGCTGAGTGGAACTGCTGAGTTTAGTCATCTGCTGTTAATATTGATTAGTGGAGCTTTTTTCTAAAACTGTCAGAGAGAAATTTTATTTATTGAATAAATATACATATGTAATTTAAGGTAGCACTAGCATGAAATTCCAGTGGCCCAGTGTACCAGTGGCCGGTGTGGGTGTGTATATACAGTGCATGCATTCTAATAACATTTTTCTATTTAGCTGTTATACTGGCTATTGTAAAATTCTGACCAGTGTATTTGCCTGGGGCTGGGTGTGAAACAGACCTTTTTCTCCTCCGGGGCCCCTCACCCTCTTTTTGGACTCATGCTGGTGGAGGAGCACAAAAACAGGGAAAGGGGGTGTAGGGAGCGTGAGGGTAAAGAGAGGGATGCACCATTGAGTTGTCCACCCACACAAGGCCTGCTCTGGTCACCTGCGTGGGTTTGGGGCAAGACAAGGGTGAGGATGCACGCATACACAAAAAAGGAACACAAACAACAGCTTCCTAACCCCAAATGTCAAATATAGCAAAGGAGCTCAGAATAAAAGCATTTTAAATGAGCAAGAAACTTCCTCAACACTACAGAAAGAGGCATTCTCAGTGTCCTTAAAAGCACTTCAGACTTTAGGCAGTGAGGAAGGCAGCTGAGAGATGAAAAGTTCTCAGAGCAGTGGGCTGTGGCTTGATCTTCACAAAATGGCTAGTTTATCATAATTAACATTGTGCCAGACTATTAGAACCACGAGGCATGGAAAACAATGCACTCTTCAATGTTTTATTGAGGACTTATGGTAAATTACTTGTATAATTATGTGAACCCAGCAGATTCTGTCCTCACAATCTCCTCCTACATCCCATCTGCCCTGTGTGTCCAGAGTGTGGGTGACTGAAGTAGCTGCGGGTGGAGGGTGGGGGGGATTGATGAGGAATTATTGTGGAAGATTATAAGAAAACTTGTGATGTAACAGTCTGAGTTGCACTTCAGCTGTTCACGCCGACACCGTAACATCCACGGCCTCCGACAGAATGAGTAGTAGAAAACGAAAAGAGGGAAAAATATAGAACTGAAAAACCTCTGTGACACTAGGAAGTGCCCGGAGGCATTTTAGTCTGGCAGAGCTAAACTTCTGGCCAGGGAGACTCCGGAGGATAAAGTGAGCCAGAAAAGGTGAGAAGAACAGAGGGGAAGAGCAGAGAGAGGTAGAAAGAGGAATATTTTTAGTGTGGTCTGTTATCTGTGGAGACGAGGCCGTGTGATATCACAGCCAGGTCACTTCGCTGAGGGGGGGAAACAGCATGGGGCTCTCCGCCGAGACGGCAGATAAGGAGCAACAGAACAATGAGATCTGTTGCTGTCTCTCTCTCACCCACACACACAAACACACATATATACACTCATAACCACATCCACAGGATGACACACTGCAGCTTCACTCTCACACATTTTCTTAAAGATACTTAGAAACCCCTCAGACGTGTTAAAAGATCACATCAGAATGGAGCTCCAGGGCTCCACAGGTGACCTGAGAGTGTGTTACTGGTACCGGTGACTGACGGACAAAAACCAGCGTTATCAGGAAATTTCTTCAATCAACTGTTTATCTCTGCGTTCCCTAAATCTCTCTCTCTCTCTCCTCTGTTGTACCCCTTTGAAGATGTAAATGCCAACAGAACAGATGGATGGAGGGAACATCTCATCACTCTGACACCGTGTTTATACAATCGCACACAAAACTCCTGGTGCACGCACACACATATAGGCTCTGAAGCAAGACGCTGATGGAGATTTGTTCAGTCATCAAAATGAGCACATGATGTATGCACGCAGACACACACACACTTTTGGTGTTTTGGTGCTTTTGATGAAACCTTCTGTTCGCTTCTTCCTTTGTTTGCACTGAATACACGCTTGCATAAACACGGACACATACACACATGAACTGAGTAATTTGCCAGACTAGCAGCTGTTATGGAACAAACCGGGTACTAACGAAGCTCCTCTGACATGCTAATGACACTCTGTCGGCCCAAGGAGTTGAACCACGCTCGCACCGTACAGTTTTAAAAAATCTGACTATTATTTGTCACACAACCTGGAGAATATCAGTCTCGTAGTCATATGAATATTAAGTGGTTAGAGCTCCCAGGACGATGTAAGAACTCTGTGGAGGACTGCAAGCCAAATGAAACCCTGACTCACTTCAGGAATATCTTAGAAAGGCTTTGAGGAAGATCCTTTTACACCCCCCCCATATGCACACACACAACCACACAACCACCACCCACCCACCCAATCAAATCCTCAGTGGCGATGCACATCTCCTCATCTTTCTTCTCTGCTTCTTTTGTTCCTCTCTCTCAGCCGCCCACACACCTACCGTCCCTCAGGCTTTTCTCTTTACACGCTCACACACATGCAGTGATTTACATTTGGCTATTTCTTTTGTACTTCATTTTATTTCTTCATGTCTTTTCCATATTCCTCTTCATTATTAGTCACTTGGAGATACTGTATGTGTGTGAATGCAGGTTCACATGTGGACATATGCAAAGATAAACACACACAGGGTCTATATTTAATGCCATATAATACAGATGTGTGGGCAGCAGCCATCTGGGGCTCCCAGGGGAACAAAAACTAAGTTTGTGTAGGTTTCTGTGTGTGTTTGTGTGGTGTAGGGCTAAGGGCCAAACTTAAAGTCAGGGTGCGACGCCGAGGACCCGTTGTGGAAACCCCCTTCAGAGAGCTGAGCATCTCAGGGGAGAGTGGGAAAAACATCCCGACGGTCATCAATCAAAACTTCGGTGACACAAATGACCAGAAACAACAGACTGTTCTCTATCCGTGTCAGTATGTCACCTCCGCAGCACAGATATGTCCCGCCCACTTGCGCCGCTACCCGATAGGCCCTCATCAGACGCCGCCTGATCTGATTGGCCTGTTGGTTCCTGAGCGAAATCACGATTCCCTCTTGGCTAATTGGGCCTTTGTGATTGCGCAGTCTGTCGTGGCACTGGGGGAGAATGAAACATGAAAACGGTATTATGGTGGATAGCAGAAGAGTGGCAGGTCGAAGCGGGGAAATCGTTTTTGGCGTCTCAAAGCACCAGATGCTCTTCCTGGGTCCATTATTATGCCTTACAGGGGATCGAGATGGTTTCGGCGTAGCAACTGCGAACACACAAAGCGAGATGGAAACTGGCCCAAGATGGAGACTCACACAAACACATACATGCAAATGCAGGCGCACACACACTTACACATGCACCTACACACAGTCAAGTGTTAGAAACAATTGAAACTAGCCAGCCACTTGCTATTTTGGTGCTCTGCGTTGGTCTTTTTCAACACAGGTTGTCAGAAACCATCTTTGTATGTGTTACACAAGAACTAAACAAAGTGGAGCATATCTCTGTTTCACCTTTGTGTTTAAAAAAAGACAGGAAACCCCACCCGATCAATAAAGATGAGAGCATTTACTTGTTCAAGCAGTGCTTCGATCGTGAGAGATTATTCACCAGTCTTCAAGAAAGCAAGAGTGTAGGAAGAAGGGTCATGAGCTTGCTCTTTGTTTGCTCCACCACACGTCTACCAGAGGCCTTCTGCTTTATACCTGCCTTATTATTAAACAATAAGTCTACTCCTTTTATTTTTATGTCTATATGGAGTTACAAATAAAAAAAAATATTTAAAACTGCAATTGACGGATGGTGGGGGGATGGTTGAAGCAGCATATCCTTATCTTATTATCCTTGAAATACCCAACAGCATATCTGGACACTGGGTTTCTCCCCCTTCCTCGAACAATCATCAACAGGTGGCGCTGTAGTCACGCTCTTCAGTGTTAACGCTCCTCGGGACAAAGAGCTTCCAGCAGCCTCAGTTCCTATGAAGCCAACCAAATTCAAGCAGTCCAACCCTTCATTAGGAAATGGTGACTTTTTGTGACAGACTGTGTGATTACAAAAACGTGATGGTGTGACGTTTATGACCTCACTCCTCCTGGCGTCCTTTAGGTTATCACTGCTAAATGTCACTTCTGACGTGCAACAACAAGGGACCAGTGCATTTGTCAGCTGTGTCCTCTGTTTTTTCTTAGCCAGTGGTCTCTGGTAAGGATTGAAACAGGGGGACAGTAGAAAACATACACAAACTGTAATATCCTAAGTTTAAAGTGAACAAATAATTGTGGCGCTGTTTGATTTTCAAGGAAGACGCTCCATAATAGCCTGAACAAGCAACAGACAGAAACAAATGGCCCAAGATTTCTAAAATCCAGTGACTATTAACAAAAATGACTTGTCAGTATCCTTCCAAGCATTTCAGACTTTAGGACCACAGTCATGTGGCTCATGTCATTTGATTTACCGTTAAGGGAGCCATCTGAGTGGTAGAGACCGCCCCAGTCTCCGCTGCTGCATCCAACGCGCTTTCGCACTTGAGTTCATTCACACACACTTTTCCCACCGGGATGGAGCCGCTTCAGCCAGCGCGCAGAGCCAGCAGGGAGCACACACGCTTCCACACAGCACACATGGCTGCGAATTTTTGGAGAATATTTTCTATCTTCATTTGGATACTAACACTAGTTTCAAGTTCGAGGACGAGGATTTACCCACCTAACGAGGGTAAGTGTAGGACGGGATTGCCTGAGCTATGAGACACATTTTGTTTCCGCTCCTGGAAGCCGAGAGAGGCACCAATGCGTGCGCTCCGTGCGCGTCCTAGGATGGTAAAGAGCAGGGCGAATGCGCATCAAACCTGAACTGACAAAAAGTTGGATTCTTTTGTTAGTATTTCTCCTGGTATCTCTCGGAGTTGTGCAGCAGTTTTTCCTGTTCTGCCACGAAAATCGTTGATTTTTAGCATACAGTATAGCAACTGTACCTCATTCTCTATTGTGCAGTTTAGGGTGAAAGACTTATTCATGAACAGTTAAACCTCTAAATGCGCACTTTGGGGTTAATGAATCCGATTTTAGGCTTTGAAATCATTACTAAAATTTGAGCGTTTTGATATTATGTAACAGAAATTACAATTACTATTAAGAGGAGGAGGGCCTGCTGGTGTTTCTATATTAGTTTCCAAGCTTAGTGGTCATTCATCCAATGGTAAGCTTGGAGCTTGTGGTTAAGTCTTCCCAGTACAAAAACAACACTTATTTTTCACTGCCAAAGAATATTATTTATTTATTTATATTGAAACACTGTAGGCTGTTTACCTTTGAACCACGTGTGCGTGTGTGTGTTTTAGTGACCCTACTGGATACCAGGACAGTGCCAGGAGAGCTGAAATGGGCAGCCAGTCCATCAGAGGGTGGGGTGAGTGGGACTTTTTTTTTTTTCTTAACATACATTGTTTACAACCTGTTCTCTTCTTTGGAAAACACACTTCATCTCTTTCCCCCTCTCTCTCTCACACACACACACTTGCGCACACTCAGTCTGGAAACTGTAAATAATCAACCCACAGATTTTGAAATGTGCTGTTGTTCACCAAGCCCAAGTGCTAATATGAGAGTGCTGGCGTTGCATTTGGCACAAAGCAAGGCATAAACCAGCTTGGCGGTGGGTGTCATTTCTAAGGATTTTTACTACCATGCAGTTGCCAGAGTAAATCCTGGAACCATCTATTTAATCATATCCTCTCCTCTTTTTGTACTTTCTGATGTTGGTACATTGTGATCTGCTATCGATATGTCCTCTCTTCCATTCTCTTTCCCCCATTTGCTCCGTGGCTCGCTCACCTCTTTGTTGGTTTAAGAGTTATTGGTGAACTTGACTCTCATTTCTTCAGTCACCGTGCTCTCATTCTCTCACATGCAGCTTGATTGACGAGGTCCCGGTCTGCACGCACTGAGCTTTTGATTACAGGCACCCCCCTACCTTCTTCATCCCTTAGTTACACACACAGCCACACAAAACACTATTTCTGTTGGGGCAAAGCTTTCTCCCTCTGACAGCTGTGATTTCTGTGTGCTGACAAAGACTCCAAAGGAGGCTAGACAAGGAGGCATCGTACCCCGTGACAGCTTTTTTTTAAACTATCTTCCTCTATACACACATACACCATAAAGACACATATATAAAGATGTGCTCATGCTCCCACTCATGTGTTCCTGCTTTTATATTCACAGGCTGTGCACTAAAGAGTTGAACCAATGGTAGAGGCTGATGCCAGTGGTAATATTTGGCAGTGATTAAAAAAGAATAATAATTTGACTGTAATATATAAGTCGATGCTTAAATAGTAAACCTTACTGTAAAATATGGTGGTAAGACAATACATTTTCAACAGTAAAGCCCACTGGGAATTAAAACTGAAATGTATTGCAAGATATAAGGTTAATACAAAAAACATAAACAATGCATTTGTTTTCAGAAAAATTGAGGTCAAATATACCTAAGACATTTACAGCATTAAAATGTCCTTTTGCCAACTTATCAATGTATCTGTGACAAATCAGTATCATCCCATAAGTTTGGCCCTGATGACATTCATTCATTTTCTACCGCTTAGTCCCTGAACGGGGTCATGGGGGGGGGGGGGGGGGCCAATCCCGGCCGGCAG